TGACAAAGGCATTTCGCAGAATCCCACTACCCCCTGTATTCAGTGTCAAAAGATGGATATGTCCGGGCCGCAACGCGCCGGCCGCAGCAACTCGCGTCCGAGCGTTATGAGTTATGAGCGATGACCTTTGGCGCCGCGCTGGGGGTCAAGTGTTTTCCTTCCCGAAACCGGCTGACGCTCGACTTGAGGAGTGCGCGGACAGCTTGATGCGCGTGCGGCACAATTTACGGCGGTGTTCGTTGTCTTTGTTGTCTTTTGCCCTCTGAACTTCACCTCCCGACGGCTTGTTTTCCGGCTTCGTCGCTCGCCACCTTCGCGTCCCCTTCGCGGCCCAGAGTTCAGGGGGCGGGAGGAGGGAGGAGGCAGAGGCCCGTCGGCTGACATTTGGCGACTGAATTAGCCACAAGAGTGACCCGGTGACGCCTTGAACGGGTTTCACTGTGACGCATCAACGCTCTTCGGGCCATTTGATCCAGCGACGCTCTTTCCACGCGCCGTCATAGCGGCTCTCCGCTCGGCCGGGACGTCCAACTTTCCACCAGCTATCCGACCAGATACCTCATCACCAAGTAGACAAACACACTATGTTAATAAAAATAGATCAAAATGTAACATCATGCAACAAAGTAGCCACAACAAAAGCTAAAAAGCTAAAGCTAATTCAAAATGAAGCTCTTACTAGCTCCATACTGACCCATGTGAGGCTGATCAGGCGGGATTATCACCCCGACTAGACAAGTCAGAGGACAACAGGGACATGTTTGTCTCACACTGACCGAGCAGCACGACGGGGAGGTCAGAGAGTTGGAAAGTCTGGCGTTTGTCACTCGGCCACCAGAGAGGTTTCATCTCCTTCTCTCCTCTCGTCCCTCCACCGCCGTGAAGCTGCTGCGTCACATCTTCATCGCCCCGAGCGCTCCACGTCACAGCGGGGACGCCGAGTGCTGAAAGCGTGAAACGGAAGGTGGCTTCCCTGTTTTTTCACCGTCTCTCTCTCTCTCGGCGTGTTGATGCATCCGTGATTGGGAGGTCTGGATGTCAGAGGAGCCAAACGGCGGAATGGCGGCTGGAAAACAACAATTCCGACCCCCGGAGGTAATTTACGAACAAGATTAACGTGCAGTTGATGGGAAGTTTCTCACGACAGGGTGCCAACGAATAAACACAATCCGGAGATGACACCTCCCCGGTGG